CTGCTGAAGTCACGGTGTCCGGTCAGAGGACAGAGTCTCTTCACGGAGGGCTGACATGGTGAACGAGCTGCAAGTCCTCGTCTTCCTCCGCAGTGGGGACTCCCTGTCATCCCACAGGGACACCTGAACTGATAGGTCTCCCAATGAGAGTGGAGCAGGCAGGGTCAGAGACTCAATGGGAGTGCTGGAGTCAGGAGGGTTAGGGAGGGATAGACACGGGACAGAAGGGGTTAAACTATGAATGTATGATAAATTAATTTCTAATAAATGTATCCGCTCTGATAAGAGGCTTGTTTACAACATGAGAATAAAATGCTTGAACCTGGGAAGTGACTCAGTCAAGTCCCAGTTCAGGACAACTAAGTTGAAATTCACATCCCAAGTCAAGTCTTGGGTCATGACCCAAAAATCCTACACATCCCGAGTGCCAAGTCCAAATCAGCGCTAATAAGCCCCAGGTCAGGTCCACAAGTCAAGAGAGTCTAAATGAGACACAGTGTATGAATGTCTGCTTAGTCTACAGATTAGTACTGGTATTGGTAGTGCAGTAGTGTAGTTACTGTAGTACTATACATACTGGCCGTAGTGCTGCTGTCTGCAGGGTTCAGGGGGATCCACGGTGGAGCTTCTACATGAAACATGCTCCGACTCTGTTCCTGAGACAACCTCTTACACAGACTGTGGACTGAGTTCCTGCAGAGAGAAAACCCTGGTTTGGCTTTTAACACAAACAGGAAGCACCAGAACTCGTGGGAAACACAATGTTCCTGATCTGATATCTAACAGACGTCTGAACAGAACAAATGTAAAACACACCAAACTCTGTCATCAACATTTTGTTTAAACAGCTGGTCAGTCACTCACTGCAGCTCGATGAGCAGATGTTTGATTGACACATTGGTGAGTGGCACTTGAGGTGATGGCACATTGGCCGCATCTTTCCCCACCAGGCCCAGAGGACTCCTCAGCACTGGCAGGAAGTCGTCTGCAGAAACAAGAAGCAAAATTCAGTTTAAAAATAAAGCAAAAACCACACACTGGACTTTAGTCTGCAGGATGGCCTTCGTTTGTGCCCATGTAGTGGTGAAATTACTGGACGTGCACTCTAGGACAGGTTTGGTTTGGTGTAACCATCCCTGAGTTATAGGCCTAAGCTGGGGTCCTCCCATGATGCTCTGAG